AGTATGCCTCCATCATGAAGCTTTGCTGTTGACGAAATTTGAATTTTTGCAAAAACCTTGCTGCAATACCTTCAAGAAGAAATGCCATGTAAAGCGAAAAGATTTGCGACCAATCACAGTAGCTACTGTAGAGGATAATCCTAGGATAAGACTCCACATGAGGCTTGGGAACCTGTCAGACACCCAACTCACAGGCTTGGGAACCTGCGAGAAAGTGGCCAGCCCGTTGCTAGCCTTGCCTGGCTATCGGGCATGGCCCCTAGGCGATGGGGTTGCCAATCATTTAGATTGGTAGTAGCTCAGCCACCATGGATCAAAGCAAGGATTACACTAATAATGGATAAATTTGCCTTCTGCAAATTGCCATGCTCTAGATTTGACAGCCTGCAATAGCCTACAATGCACGTACACCTCACATATAGCAGTGTCATTTTCAGAGTCCTGTGGCTGAACTAGGAATTCATAAAAGTTACTCTTGTACAGAAAAACCTGCTCTATCCAATGGTGTCATTCAAAACCAAATTGGGAATGATGCATATTGAGATATTTTGAGATATAATGGCAGTGATATTAGCATAGATTGGTAGCTGAATGGCTACCCAAACTACATTTCTGATTAGACTGCTGTATTCCGCACCAAAAGTTGCCCTGGTATGCAAAATTTCACACTTCTCTGGGCACTAGTCGTGATTTAACAAAGGGTCAAAGAGTCATTGAAACCTACTTCTAGAGAGTCTTCCACTCTCTAATGCATCAATAGGAATAAACTTACTTCATTAACAGCATTAGGTAACAATCATAAAAGGAACAGGATGAGCCTGAAGCCAACTGTGTACCAGAACCTTCAGAACCAGGATTAATTGACCTGATGTTCCATGTCTCAACCAGTTGAGCGAACAAGTTCCAGATGCGAGTCAGCCAGGGAATGAATAATCGCTGATGGAGTGATGTTCTTGAGAAAGGCACTTCCAGCATGAAACTGTTGAAGGGTGAGAGCCTAGTGCTATAGGTGCCAACTACTGATTGTCTAGAGTTGGGCCAAGTGCGAACTTTGAGAAAGTGGGAATTGTACGTAACAGAAAGAACATCAATGTCACGACAGTGTTACAGGCTCTGATGTTCAGACCGTTCCCACCAGACTTGGTCAAGACTAGAGATGATCCTTCTTGCACGACTCTCCACTTTGTCCAAGTCTGATGAATGATGAGGGGGCAGGTGATCCAGGAAAGAGGTGCCTACTCTAGATAAGAGTGAACTGCACTTCATATAAGGTTTTGAAGTCCATGGTCTCAAGAAGGTGTGAGATGCGCTGTAGGGCTGCAAGTTTCACGCTGCCTTTTCAGCTAGGTTTAGCACGGGACTCTTCATTGCCACTGAAGAGTCGAGCTTCATTCCCAAGATGTCAATTTCATCTGTGAACTCTAGCATTTTGCCGCCCATTTGCAAGTCTGTCCAATTTGCCATGTGAAGTCTAGTCATCATCATCGCTTGTGTTTTCTCAACCACAAACGTGACCTCCCATCTCCTACCCAAAGTAGAAATTGCTGAAAGTTGGTAATTGATAAGTCTTGCAGCAGTTGGTATTTCTTCCTTTCTGTATGTGAAGGTTAGAGTGCAGTCATCTGCATAGGGTTGAGCTTCAGGAATGAGATGAAGTAGATCGTTGAAATAGACATTCCACAGCAGAGGGCCAAGCATACTACCCTGTGGAATGCTACATCAATTGAGTGGCTTTTGGATTCTGCTCCATTGAGGACTACCCTTGCAGTCAGTTCTTGAAGGTAGTCTCTTATTAATTCTAAGATGGAGTTTGAAATGGTTAGTGCGTGAAGCTTCACTATTAATCCAGAGTGCCA